TAAGTGTTTATGTATATGACATATAGACAATTTCATCGGTGTAACTAAAACACTTTTCTTACAAATTGTTTTGTCTTGAAGCATTTTCTAAAATAAACACACATGTAATGTTTCAAGGTAAAAAACCAGACTATGCGTGTTTTATGAGTGTTTACGTATATGACATGTACAAACAGTCATAAGGGTAACTAAAGCATTTTTCTTTGAAACTGTTATATTTTGAGGCACTCAAACACACATGCAATGTTTCGAACTAAAACACCCGATTATATACAGAACACTTGTGTATGCCGTCTACGGTATGCATCTATAATAGACACAATACTTATTATCGACTGTATGCAGCATATTTATTTTGGAAGAAATGCTCACACACGTCAAATTTGGCAGCAAGTCATACGGTGCATGTAGCGATAAATTTACCGATTTTAGTATTTTGCGAGCGTGCATACCGTGTATCTGTCACAAGTTTAATAATCGATGGAATTAAACATGCACGGTGTTGTTATCAATGTTCGAGTTAGTAAGCTGGACGACGCTGCGCTAAACATGCATTAATTCTCTGTGATCTAATCATTAGAATCAATTTCTTTACATTTCTTATTCTATTGGCGGAGCCTCGGTATTAAAACTCCAATATGGTGATTACCACGCATCTGTGCAAATTTACGCCTAATTTAAACGAGCTCCTCTAAGCCTCTAATAATACATAACCATTCAATTGTTTCAATTGTTATTTAGAAATTTAATTAATACAATAAATACAATATGAAAACAAATATTGAACACTAAATTAGTTTGCTACTTCTTTGCAAATATTTTGAGATACATTTCGTTAACGACCGTCACGGCTGACATTAGTGTATGTTGTGTGTTCAAGTAACTGGTAACTTGTGTCGTGCGCACGCTCATTCATGACTGAATTATACTATCGGGAGTGCGCAGACAGGTGGCATATTCGTTGAAGAAGCAATAACATCTTGAACCGAATGAAGCCTTTCCTTATTTTCTGATGGAAGAAGGGAGCCAGACGTTATCCTAAACAAACCTGAAGGTATGATGATATTGTTACTCCGTTACAAAGCTTGTGGAACGTGTAATTGATAAAGCCTGCGTCGGCAGTTGTGTACTACTGTGATAGGTATTTTTGATGTTTAAAAACCTTTCACTTAGGTAACCGGGATTTGATTGTTCTCCACGCTAGACTCACAAGAAACACACACAAGCTCCGTTCATGTTCAAAACGATTCTCTGCTATGTCCCTGGTTTCCACCCGAGACAGCATTAAATCACTATTTATTTCTTGTCACTCCTTAACCAATTACAATCAGTATAAGAGACACCAAGGCCTTGCCTTCAAACAAACAACCAATCACATGAAAGTTTTACACATCATAATCAATTGATTAATCGTCAAGCTATTAAGAAAACCACTATCATATTGTCAACGCCAACTAATATTTATGGGTCTAATAGTTTTGCAATAACATTCCACAAAGATACCACATGAGTTGGAATCGCAAACAAGATTGGTTTTGAATTACTATCCCCGTACCTCGTAATCTTTTAGAAAGTTGCCAACACATGAGATTTCTCAGCTGATTTTGACTAGCTCGCCATCTGGCCTTATCATTAACCTTTATCAGTAGATGTCATGGCAACCACTGTCAAGCTGACTGACCTCGTCATTTAACCCCTATCAGTAGACGCCATGGCAACCACCGTTAGGCTGAAATATAAATCATGACACTACATTGATATTCGCAGCGGCCTCCATTCATTTTTTAATGTGCGGGATAACTGATTAAACTCAAGTTCATGAATTTACAGGACCAGAGAATTCCATACCACATTACGTCCATGCCGACATCACCAAGATCAAGATCTGAGTTACCAAATAAAATCATAGAAATGTTACAGAATTTAACAGGAAATTGCAGTTCAATTCGCCTGTGGTCATATTTTCGTCTTCTCATTACATGTGCGTTAGTTTAAAACAACAATAATAATTTACATCGTATATCTGATTCAAATATCGCATTTTTTGAAACAATAATGATAATTATTTGAACATTACTCACTGCATTTTGATAATATTATACTTTTCAGATTTTAAGAAAAGCGATCGGAGCGAACAAGATGAAACTGCTAATGTTGGGAATTAATTTTGTCCTGAATGGGTTCAAAGATGTTATTGTTCGTTTTAGTTAATTACTCATCTGTTTTGAAGTGTCAATTTTCGCAAATATTGGGTATTGTATCCACAGTTTCACGAAAGGTTTGAATTTCAGTACTAGTAAACACACTTATTCGCGCGATTGATAATATTCTTTACAGCTATACATGTCTGTTTTTTTTCAATGTTACACTCGAACTTACCCCATTAATGTTTATATTTAGGAATACATTCTTACTTGATTATGTGATTTGTTTATCGTGTGTTATGATTACTTTACAATAGTGCAAAGTGTCTCATCCTGAAACGCATCATTTGATATATTTTGTTTTCAAAAATGATAATGTTAATGATTTTTTAACATGTTATCAGTGTAAATACATTTTAAAATGTGTCTCTGTTACGAGCACTTGTCAATATTCAGTTTGTGTTTTACTTTTCAAAGTGTTGCGATGATAAACACTTTTTCAATACATATTTCTGGTGGAAACTCTTTTCAATGTGTGGCGAGTGAAATCACTTTATTAAAACATGTCTTCGGTTGAGACATTTTTCTACGTGTCGTGATTATAAACACTTTACAAAATGTGTGTCTAATTAAAGCACTTTTAAAAGTGTTGTGACAATAAGCACTTGTTATACATGTTCCTGAAGGAAACACATTACAAATGTGTGCCTATTAAGAGCACTTTTAAAAAACACTTTAAAATAGTGTTTTGATAATAAACACGTTTTATACATGTTCCTGGTGGAAACGCTTTAGAAATGTGTGACCAGTAAAAACAATTTTAAAAGTGTTGTGATAATAAGCACATTTCATACATGTTCCTGGTAGAAACATTTTACAAAATGTGTGTCTAGAAAAACACTTTAAAAAGTGTTGTGATAATAAACACGTTTTATACATGTTCCTGGTGGAAACGCTTTAGAAATGTGTGACCAGTAAAAACAATTTTAAAAGTGTTGTGATAATAAGCACATTTCATACATGTTCCTGGTAGAAACATTTTACAAAATGTGTGTCTAGTAAAACACTTTAAAAAGTGTTGTGATAATAAACTCGTTTTATACATGTTCCTGGTTGAAACCTTTTTAAAAACGTGTTTCTAATGTGTTATGGGCAAAAACATTCCTAAAATGTTCCACCAAAAGTGTTTTCATAATATACACTTCTCGCAATTATGCAGATTATAAACACTTTAAGCGTTTTTAAAGTGGAGACAAGCTTGTAAACACTTTAAATGTTTTATCACAAAACAGTAAAATGTTTTATTTTAAAACAGTAATGTTGTAAAATAATAAAATAACGATTTTAAGAAAAACACTTTAATGTGTTTAATTATAAATCACTTAAAGTGATTTTAAATTGGGGACAAAAATATGTCATACTTCAAAACACCTAGATTTACAGTGTATTAACTGTCCTATTACCTCATCAGTAGAACAAAACTAACCTGTTCCGTGATGTAATATCATAATTAGTGCTATGAAATACTGTTACTGCTGGCCAATCATAGTAATACTGATTTAGTCATGGTTTTTAAATGCGAACCTATGCATGGTAGTGAAATTTTTCCTAAAACAATTACTGAGTGCAGGGTACGACAAGACTTTCCAAAGGCCTTATCTAGTATAATTTGAGTTTAGAGTTTGTGTGTGATATTACTTTACATTACGAATAGTCATGTAATTCAAGTGATCTTCAACGTTAACAACGTATATTTAGATGAATTTATGTACATGTATAGCATGAAAGGTTCATAAAACATATTATTATACCCCATAGCCCTTTTAACCAACCAGATTATGTTAGTCAGCCTATGTTAGTTGACAATACATAAGTTTGAATATTTTATTTTCTCGTAAGTAGAGAACAAAACATGTTTATGTTTTCAGTGACGTCTTCCAATTTTCAGACCATAAAGTCAACTTATTGATATATTTTTGTATAGCCAATAAATATGGATCAGTACATAACCAATAAATCATTCTCATATTACTCAACCAATGTGCAAGATGTATGTACAACTGTGTACTGGTACACATATACCGTGTGCGACTGGATAATTAAAACAAATATTTCCTGTAATCATTTCACTACTAGACAGTATAAATGATAGACCGTGAATAGAATAATAATAAGTCCATTGGAAGGACACAAATAAACTTGTCTCTATATGATGTAATGTCTATTTGTCATTGTCGTCAATGTCTATTTCAGATTCAGAGCTAACTGCAGCTATTGCCTGGCCGATCCCAGTAGTTTATTTCTGTTTTTTCTGACTCAATGTGAGATTTCATATTTAATAAATGTAAACACTTTATATATGTCATTAATTATATATGCCCAGTATTACTCGGTCTAAAAATGCACGGGAAAACATTACGATGTAGCATGGAAACAGTCTTTTGACTAATCTAAACTTCCATTGAAGATTCGTGCTGCTGTGGTGGAAATACTGAATCAAGCTCTGTGGCATCAACAATTAAGTGACCATCATTTAAAGACTGTCACTACATTGCTCAGAGAATCTCATTAGTATTTGACAACGAATTAATCATACGCATCAATGACATTGCAACAGCCTAACACGTTTGACGTATTGAAATTCACGGCTGCTCATGTTCAGGATATACCGACTGTCTAATTGGCATAATTTACAGTCGTGGTTACCGTGGATAAAGGAAACAACAGTAGTATACAGGGAGAATAGTGCTTTATTTGTTAAAAATCATTCTTATATAACTGGAATGACAATATATTATTTATTTCACCATTGTGTGGTGACGCAATTTTATATTATACGCAATTATCTTTTCTGGTTTATCGTAGCTTTTTTGATGTCTTTGCAGGAAGTATTGGCCTGGATTTCTGCCATGCATCGAGGAGTTCAAAACCTTCGTATTTCATCTTTTTACAATACACAGGGGCGGTTTTTTTCAAAAACGTGTTATTCCTGCGGTCTTGATAGTCAATCACAAATTTACTTTCATCTAAACATTCGGCTTTCATCTTGTTTAACATACCTCGAAATGTTGTCAAATCTGCAGTAAAGTTATCGCCGTATTCCTGCACCTTACGCCAGAGCGTTTTATTGAAATGTTGATAAAGTTTGTTATCAGCACTGTTGATTGTCAATATTCGCTGTCGTTTCCATTCATCAATGTCAAAGCGAAGATGGTCATTTCTTTTATTCTGTTGCATGTACAGGATATCTTTAAAATCCCAGCATAATAGTTTTTTCAGAAGAATGAGCGATTCGTCAAAGTATTCATTAATCATCACCAAATCAAACTCCTTAGTTGCTTGTTGTATCACACTATCTATGTAGGTTTCATTGTCAGAGTTTTCAATAGCAAGTCCAATATCAAACATTTGTCTATTTCTTAACAATGTCTTGTGGTAAGGATCCATAAGTCGTTTCAAATAATAATTTGCTTGCGAAAGAAACTTTTCAAATGCGTCTTGACTTTCATTGTATTTGATGCCAATGTAATTGGTAAATTTAAAAAATCCAAAGATTGACTCATATGTAGCCACAGGATGACGCAGTATTGTTACATAAGTGCCATTTGCAATCACTTTGTCAATGGCCGTTTTGTTGAAGGGCACATGGCTAACTAACATGTTGTATCTTGAGCCTGGCAGTGGTAGTCTCAATTGCTTTGCCATGTTATCATTAAAACGTTCAGTTCTTGAGAACCAGCCAGTATTATGATTTAATGGCAATACAAATGATAAATTGTGACTAATGCCATAACGTATTAACAAGGAAGAAATCGTCGTACTACCTGTCTTGTATGTCTTCACAAATGCCACATTTGTTTTTGGAACGTCACACATAGGTTCTTGCAACTTTTGTTTCTTTGTGATGCTGTTGTTATAGTAAAATAATTTCTTTATAGAAACGTTCCACGGGAGTCCACTGAAAAATATAAAAAGACTAAATATAGCTACAAGCAGCAATGATCAGCTTGGGCATATATGTTGTTATTAATATGTCAGTGGTTGCCAGGCTCATAGACCCACCAACAAACTGCTGTCCAAACAAAGAATGTGTAATCGTTTGTATTGAACTTATAGTTATATATCACTTTGAACTGATTTCTAAGAGTTGCTAGTATAGTGACACTTATTTTATATGATGTTTATTGATGCATACTTGTTGGTTGCTATGAGCGTTGGCTTTCGATGCTGGGAAAACGCAAGCTGCACTCATGTGAAAATTGTTGATTCTATCTATTTTGTAGCATACCTGCATCTACGTTTGATTATTTCTAATAACCTGTATGTCTATTAATGCCCATTAATGTGTTCACATGCCAATCATATCATTCCCAACGTATGTACACGACTTATTGAATAGGACATGTAATAAACATATGATATGCTATTCCTAATTTTGTTGTGGGAAGGTACCTTTGAAACATGGTTGCCACCAACTGGCCATAGTTGCTTAGTTGACATAAAAAGATTCCATTAATTAATGAGCAATGGGTTGGTGGTTCTTATATCAAAAATATCATTTTTTACTAACAATGTCAAACAATGTACCACCATGTCAATTATCAGAACATTCGGGCCGATAATTCTGAAAAAATACAAAACATTTCATAACTACATATAATATACATAATCACCAGACCATCAACTCCACCAAAATGCAACTAAACAGGTGATACACATGACATTTGTCAATAGTAACAAGCTTTTATAATTAGCACTGTTTTCGTGATTGCGTCGGGATTAGGACATTTGTTTCTGATTGGTTGATGTGATTGTGTACAGGGGATTTTTTTATTTAACCACAATCGTTGGGCTACCCACGACAGTAGATGTACAGCGACACCGGGAAGACTATTAAAATATCCGCTGTGTTTATGTCACTGTCGTTCAGCATGTTCTTATATGAGGGCGTAACCACTAAGTAACCGCTACAAGACCATTTCGGGTTTGTTCGGAAAACATCGGAGTAAAAAAAAAATGGAGACGCGTGGGTGAACGTAACTTTCTACCGGACGGTGAATTTCCTGCCATATATTGCTGGTAGACGGGCTGAACTTGTAGATACTTGAGCACTGGTGCGGAACTGAGTGAGTCCCACAAGGAAATCTCAGACCAAGAGGAGGCGAGAGAACGGGACGAAGGCAGCGGTTCGAAGGGACAAACAAACTTGCACGCTGTACAGGACGATTCCATCTCGATATTTCGAAGGTTTGGTATCGTTTCTCCAGATTTTGTGGTCAATATTTTTGTGAGGAAAATCATTTTTACATGCAAATTAAATTATTTGGTGTAAACACCAGATTCAACAGTAGCGCCGGATGTTTTTCTACTATCCATCCATCCATTAAAGAGAAACGGTTGTCATGTGCGGAAACATTCTAAATGTGTTTCACCCTACCATTATTTGCAATTGAAATGATTAGGTACGAGCAGTGTCAGTCTATGGACCAAAGTCGGTACGTGTTTAACTATGTATTATTTCTACATCGTTACAGTTATTTCGTGAATTTTGTGTCAGCGCCCTTTAGTGACATGTATTTGTACATTCTGTTGCATATTTGCAATCGGCATTGGAGTCGAATATGATGGAATACATTCGTAGAAAAAAAGCTTTCTGTAATGCAGGAAATGTTTTGATATATTGAATGTAAATTCTACGACGTCAGGGAGACTGAACGTCCTGCGTCTGGGGCTTCATACTTTGCTAGAGACTCAAAGCTGCCTGATATATTTCATTTTTTATAAATATTAAATACTTAAAATGCAATTTTCTTTGGAATATCGAACCTTTGAAATATCGAAACTTCGGAATATTGAACCTTTGGAATATCGAACATTCATTATCAAGCTGTCACTGTACAGTTCAAGGTCGTTAAGCGAAGGCCGGGATCCAAAGTAATTACTGCCAGCTTGCATGGAGTTCATAGACGAAATAAACGTTATTCGCTGAACGCAACCTTTAGTGTTATATACATGTATACTCCTTTGATGTCTAGATTCTATTTTGTATGTTTTCTATTTGACTTTCTATTCACACAAGTGGTTTCAGCGAGTTAATAGATGACATTTGACCCATATAAGGGCGTATTTACAGTTCATGCAGTTGTGAGTTATGGACGAGTGTACTATCAGGGGGAATTTCTTCTCCTCTGAGGTTCTTCACACGTGTAGGGGGGGATCTCGTATCGTCTCTCTATCGCGTCCCCTTGAGATACGGGATCGGGAAAGTCACTTAAAATTTACAGTCAAATAGACGCACACAAAAAAATACGTTTCAATTCTCGTCTTAGTCGGTCAGTCGAGCACTCTATAAGACACAGCGCCCTGGGGAAAAGTCCCAAAGACTATCGCAAGGCTGACCCAAGACTGCCTCTAGACTGCGTCAAGACTCGCCCCAAGACAGCCTCAAGACTGCTTTAGACTGTGTCTGTTGTGGTGTACAACTAAAAAACAACTTGCTATTCACTTTCAAAACCTTAACCAATTACAAAGAAGTATAAAGACTATAGGGCGTAACCTTCAATCATACAGCCAATCACACTAAGTACTGGACACGTCATATATTTTGATTAATCGTTCACTACATTAGTAACTGCGAATACCAACTGTCAGAAATAGTAGTCCAAATAGCGACGGTTATATCGTAATTAGTTCCAAATCACCGAGTCGAGTTCCGTCCAGGACCTCGCATGGGCCTAAACGATGACAGACATAACACAGCCATTCGATAGTAATCAGCTAATTAAGTCGATCAACAAATACGTGCAAACAATTGCATCATAGTACAGTGATATTTTTATTGTATCAGCACAGCTGGACATTTTTTTGGCTGTACTAAGGACTATTTAAAGCCAGTACTGTTTGGTCAACGGCTTTAGTTTTTCATTGTGAATTTGTCAATGTATGGATTACATGTTGTTTGATCCGCCTGGCATTTCCGTTGATTATAACGGTGTGGTTGTTTGAATAAATAATTCATTGCATTTGAATATTCTGACAAGTATCTTATTCACTGTGTTGGATGTGTGTATTATTTGATGTTATACGTTTACCCAACTTGTAGGGTAAACTGCTTTGATTCGACTGGTAACTTTACATGTAGTCTTGTATTTCAGAACGATTGCCCTGACAAGCTGCATCAATCCAGCCCACCCTGTGGAGCCCTGGAAAAAGAGCTCCTGTATTAGAGTCGCTGCCGGAAGGAGGGCTATTGTTTTTTTTGTTATTATTTAACCATTATTTATTTTTTCCCTTTTATGTTGCAAATCGCAGGTGTGACGAAGGCTTGAAAATTGGAATATTGGAGTCAAATGTAAATTATTCCAAACAGAAAACCCAACTTGCGAGATTTGATACAAGGTATCAACCGGACAGATACCCAAGACAGCTGAAAACTTAAAAAGTGTAATTGGTTAAACGATTGATTTGGAGTCACCTACATTGGGCGAAGAGTTAGTAGAATGTTGAAGAATCTATTGAAGGTCATAATAAGATCAAACTGAAAAGAAAAATTATGTAAACACAGTACTGATGTATTCAGGAGAATACTCCGCATTACGTCCACGAAATAAATTTGGAGGTGAAGAGTTTACTAGCAATAAACTGACAAGGTGACACGCCCTCTACCCCAATACCCATTTTGAAATGTTGTTGGTTGATCCCTAGCCCCTCAATATTTTGACTTTCACCGGATATGTCGTCCCTTTGCGTATGCGTCGAAACTAGGTCGATTTCAATATATTAATTCTCAATTGGCCGCCAGGTGGCACGGATTGTTGATAATTCTAATGACGTTGTTTTACTTTGTTGCCATTTTTATTTCCTATAAGCATATCACAACTGTTTGATTTTGATTTGACTTTGACATGATTTTGGGTTTTATCACACACCACTGCAATCATTTTAATAACTATTATTATTCTATGTTTATTGTATGCGAGTATTGTATGCAATATGGACAAGTTCACAAATTAATAAACTTGAACGACAACAGTGCACATTTATTACGTTTATGTATTATTTTGTCTAACTAGATGGTAGTATGTGTCGTTTTCTAGTTTATTTTCAAGTGATGTGTTTTTATTTAATATTTTTAATGGTTTTTGTAACTACTGTAGTTACTTGAGCAAGTTTTTATGTCAGTCATGTGGCAATTAAACACAAGCAGTCGCTTTGAAATTAGTTAATGATCTATAAATGTAAGACAATTTTCACGAAAGTTTAGATGTATGGCAGGTTATGATGACGTAGTGCATCTGGTAGTAAATGCAGGATGAAGGCCCAATTGTTAATTATAATTGTTAGCTTTGTTGCTATTATGTGTTTATGTTTATAATCAGATATTTTCTCCCGAATCAATCTGTTTCTTTGGCTGCCCTATTTACTTGTAATTCAGACAGTGACAAAAATGCAGATCTTATACGGAAGTTACGGTTAGAGCTCAAGTTGTCATATTGTATTGTAAGTGATAAGTACCCTCGGCCGCTCGAAAAAATGCTGAAGATGAAACCCTTTGTTTCAGAAACATTTGTATTGCTTTCATTTTGTCCTCAGCAATTGTTTGTATGAATGATTGTAGCGTAAATTATCGAATGTTTTCAATTTTATCAGTCAGTGATTTTGTGTTCCTTGTTTTTGCAAATGTTGTTATATTTTCATTATATGTT